ATTTACACCCTCGGAAACCCTGTACAGGGTCGCTATGGGTCGGACCCGACTCGATGGCACTTAACAACAACAACATATATACTATATAAATGTACATACTATATATACAAGAATGCAAGAAAAAAATATATCAAAACAGCCACAGTTTTATATGTGAGTATTGAAATTACAGGTGATTTTTACCTTTTTTATGTTTTACTTCCCACATGTTTTACAATAAATCTAAACCAAAAATAAAAAGTATTTTTATTGTACTTCCTGATTTAGAACATAAAGAAAAAAATTTCATTTAAGACAATATGTTATATATTCTTGTTAATCCAGAAATCCTTTTTATTTAATAGTTAAAGTAAGTCGAAAAGTTGTATCAATTCGTTTTTATTTAATTTTTTTGTCTCACCATTTTAAAAAGAAAGCCATTGTCAGAGGTGGTGATGGGAAGGGCTCCATGGTGTTTTGTGGAATCTCTAAGAGAATACAGAGCTTCTCCCTACACTCAGTGAATTTTCTGCTAAATTACAGGCAGATCGGTTCTCTGTTGACATCGGGAGATTGTTTTTTAACCCCATATTTAGCATTGGAATTGCTCATGTGAAATTCTAGAAGATGGCAGTTAGTGACCCAGCACCTGTGTTCAGGCAATGACTCACTTCCATCTTGTTGTTGTTGTTATGTGCCGTGGAGTCGGTTCCGACTCATAGCGACCCTGAACAGGGGGTTCCGAGGCTGTAAATCTTTACGGGAGCAGAACGCCTCATCTTTCTCCCACGGAACAGCTGGTAGTTTAGAACTGCTGACCTTGCGGTTCGCAGCCCGATTCATAACCACCACGCCACCAGACGTCCTTCACTCCCATCTTATGGTGTCTAATTGTCCACTCTTTGGATGAGCTGTCCACTTCAAGAATCAAGTAGAGTGTCTGCATAAATAGCCCCAATATAATTCAGAGAAACTTAAAAAAGCTTGAAGACCTAATAGCACCTGATCCATTTCAACGACTGGGTTCGCATAAAGAGATATTTTAGAGGCACAGAGATGTACAGTTGGTTCTGTGTTCCCTTTCATGACCAGCAATTCATTCAGAAATTGTTTATGAAACTTTTTTTCTTTGGTTGTGACATGGCCTGGTCTCCAGACATTATGAGGTAAACAAAATATTACTTGTAAGTCACTTCCTTTTTCTTATCACTACAGCTCCCTAGGGTTACAAGGATCAAGTACAATGGGAGGAAGATGCTGGACTGTGTTTGGATCAAGAGTTGATGTTTAGACTAAGGGTGACCTCTGAAAGACCATGAATTCCCTGTCCCTAACAGTAATGCCACTATCTCCCAAGTGGCCTCAGATGTACCAGTGTCACCTGAACCAAAGCTACCAGGATTCCAAGAGCCAGAGTGAGGACATTACTGGCTACTAGTTAACAAACAACTTGAAGGAAATATTCTTGGGAAGAGTTGGATATATTTTGTAGTCAAAATCAAATAAGAAAGAGATCAGTGTGTAAAAGTATCTTATAGCATTAAACTTATAAATTATAAATTCTATTCCCAAATATTTGTTGGGGATATTAAAAAATTGTTGGGATGTTTCAAGACCCTTCTTTGGTAGTGGAGATTTGATAATAGAACCTTAAGGAAACATACTCATGTGTGGTTTTCAGTGAAGATAGAAAGCAATCTCCTCTGCAAATAGACATAAATTGCTAAGCATGAGCTTTTAACTTTTATTTTTACTTTTACATATCCAGGAAAAAGGATGGGACAGGGATGATAGGAAAAATGGTAGAAAAGAGCAGCCATCCCTTTACCCATTCATCCATAATTATTGCTAAGTGACCTAGGATCTTGGGAATGCTTAGAGTAACTTCAATACTCAAAGTAGGCCCGACTCCTCCTGGGGAGGAGAGATGGGACTGTGATACCGCCATTCTAACAGTGCTACCTAAGCAGCAGCTGTATCATAGAATTCATGTGAGCTTGGGCTTAAACTAAATTTACACCCTATTTTTACCTTGTATCACAACTAACTTATGTCTCTCTCAGCTTTTTCTCCCCCAATCCAGGTCTATACATTTCTATAATCATGAGACAAATTATAAATGTTTAGGCTATGCTCAACTATCGTGGTTAAAAATGCCTGAAGACTGGTTTGTACCAAATAGACACTTTTCAAAAATCATTTTTTAATTTCCTTGAAAATAATTGTAATTATTCTTAACTTTTTCAAATTGTCTTTAGAAGGGCATCAAGGTATTTAAATTTTTGAACTTCACTGTGTTTCTTTTTTGATATCCATATTCTGTAGCTTAATTTCTCCCTCATAGCCATTGCCTCTGTTTGGATCTTAAGCGTTTTTTGTCTGGAGTTCTAAGTCATTTTTTTCACATTTGATTTTTAATTTTTATAGTAAACTCTCCCTATTCATTTTATCCTAAAAGAACTAGGAAAAACTAAATATCAAGTATTAAAGTAATAGTTGGAAGAACTTAAGGATCAAATATGTAGAAAGGCATTTGGGAATTATGACCACATTTGTCATGGGATGGAAAATTAAGGTAATAAGGACTTAATTCCAATTATTTTCTCTCTGCTGCTTCTCTATATTTTCTATTTTTTTTTCTATAATGACTATGATTTATTTTATTCCTAGATAACAAGGATAAAGAAAATAAATTAAAAAATACAAAACACAGGAGGATTCCTCTTACTAAAATGTCCATTGTAAGCTAAGTAAGCCTTCTCTGTTGGATGTTTTTAGTTCTACATATAAAGGTGGGAAATATATAAATTGTTCTGATGAATCTTACCTGGTTTGTTCTAGCTCGTTTGAAAGTATTGCTATCTGGGTAGTCCTGATATTAATTACATTCCATCATATTCCCAGAAAAGAAGTTTGGGGAAAGTAGAATTTTTCCGACTCTGTGGGTCACCAGTAATTTTTTCATCATCTTTATAGATCTTTCTAGGGACATCATAGAAAATAACATTATACTTGATAAAGTAGAGGGTCAACAGAAGCGGAAGACCCTCAACAAGATGGATTGATAAAGGGACATCACAACAATTGTAAGGCTGGTACAGGACTGGGCAGTGTTGTGGTCTGCTGTACATAAGGTCACTATGAGTTGGAATGAACTCAGCAGCACCTAACTACAACAACATAGGGATATTGGAAGGTGCCCTGGTGGTATAACAGCTAAGCACTCCATGGCTAACCAAAAAACGAAGCTCTAACCCAACGACGACTCTATGGGAGAAAGATCTGAAAATCTGCTTATGTTAAAATTAAAGCATAGAAAAGTCTATGGGGTAGTTCTACTCGAAACCAACTAGACGGCACCCAGCAACAACAACATAGGGACACTGGACTCTCTCTCTGAGTGGTGTAGCTGGTCATTAGCTGACTGAAAGGTTAGAACTTCTTCAAGTCCATGCAGATACCTCTGAGGAAAATTCTGGTGATCTACTATAAAAAAACAGCTGTTGAAAACCTTATGGAGACAGTTCTATTCTGACACACATAGTGTCACCATGAGCCAGAGTCAACTCGATAGCAACTGACATAGGATTATTATGAAATGCAGCCTTTTTAAAAATAAAATGAAGCAGTTGGTGCTAAAATAAAAATCATAAGTAGGGAAGAATGCCATCTGCAATACTAGGAATATTTCTGTAATTTCTGACCATGATCAGATAGTCTAACCATGATCTGAATGCTTTTCCTTTTATCTATTTTCTCTTCTATATGGTCATTTAACTTTTGATGCAAAAATTCCTCCTGGCGATTGTCCTGCGCATAGCATCTTTCACTTCTTTATTTCTTAAGCTGTAGATGAGAGGGTTTAGCATGGGAATCACAGCTGTGTAGAACACTGACACCATTTTATTGAGGTCCAGAGAAAAAATTGCACCGGGTCGCACATAGATAAAGAAGAGAGTGCCATACAAGATAGAAACAGCTGTTAGGTGTGAAGAGCAGGTGGAAAAGGCTTTGCGCCTCCCATCCGTAGAGTGGATCCTCAGGATAGCAAGAAGAATGTAGAAATAGGAGATTATAATGGTCAGGCTGCTGACTACTAGTACAGCTCCAGCCACAATGAAGACTAACAACTTATTGATCCATATATCAGCACATACAAGAGAAAGAATAGGAGACATGTCACAGAAGAAATGATTGATAATGTTGGAGCCACAAAAGGGTAATCGAAAGGCAGCTGTTGTGTGAGTCATGGTGTTTAGGAATCCAACGGCGTAGGGTCCAAGGAGCAATTGCACACAGAGTCTCTGGGACATGACAACGGAATACAATAATGGGTTACAGATGGCCACATAGCGGTCATAGGCCATGGACGCTAACAGAAGGCACTCAATTGCCACAAAGAACCCAAAGAACCACTGTTGCAAGGCGCATCCCAGGAAAGAGATGGCTTTCCTTTCTTTGAAGAAGTCAGTGAGCATCTTGGGGCCGACCACTGATGAAAAACAGATGTCCACAAATGATAGGTGACTGAGGAAAAAGTACATCGGTGTGTGAAGACGGGAATCTATCCGGATTAGAAGAATCATGCCCAAGTTTCCAGTCATAGTAATGAGGTAAAAAAGCAAAAAGAGCAAGAAAAGGAAGACTTGTAACCGAGGGTGGTACTTTAAGCCTATGAAAATGAATTCTGTGATCCTTGTATAATTTTCATCAGCCATTGGCTGCCTTTAGTCTCTATAGTGAAAAAAAAAAAACCCACAAAGAATTGTTAACACATTCAACGTTGATTTCTTCAAATACTATGAAAATACAAAGGAAAAAAGTAAAGATTGAATTTATTTCTGAACATTGATATCAAAGAAGTCTCTGTAAAATGTTAGCAAATCAAATTCTAGCATTCTAACAAGAAAAATGACTTGATAATTTTAAAGAGAAAATAAGGGTATATTTCTCTTTAAATAATTAAGAAATGTAAAGATTTAAATATAAAATCTAAGAAATGATTCATGATTTTAAAAACCTATAAAATTATCCACATAATTTCCAGATTGTTGTTGTTGTTGTTATGTGCCGTGGAGTCGATTCCAACTCATAGCGACTCTGTACAGGGTTTCAGAGGCTGTAAATCTTTATGGGAGCAGAAAGCCTCCTCTTTCTCCCGCGGAACAGCTGGTAGTTTTGAACTGCTGACCTTGTGGTTTGCAGCCTGATTCGTAACCACTACACTACCAGAGCTCCTTAATTTCCAGATTAAAGGGAAGAATATTATCATTATCACAATAGAGTTTAAAAGCAAAGGGATAAAATGCAGTTCTTAAAAATATTTCCAGATTGAACATAAAAGGAAAACTTGAACTCAATAGAAAGAATCTTCCACTAGTGTTCAGAAGAAAGTATGCAGTGCAGGTCCTCTCAGAAGTCACTGTTTTACATCAACTTTTGTGTTAAGACACCCTAATGAGACCCCTCAGAAGCAATATTTTAGATAAACCTTTTCTGTTAAGACACCCTAATGAGACTAAGACAAGTATATTATTGAAAGATCTTGTTTGTAGTCAACCACTGACACATGTTTAAACAGCCATTGTTTGTAATAAAGCTTTGCAGGTATGAACTAGACTGATATCACTGATCTACAGATCTCCATAAAATAGAGTCAATTTAGTCATTATTGTTGTTGCTAAGTGCTGTCGAGTCTGATCTGACTCATAGCAACCCTTTATAGGGTTCCAAGGAGAAGCTGGATTTGAACTTCCAATCTTGTGGTTCAAACTGACATTGTAGTCCAGTGCATTACCCCACAGTCCCTCACTATGACTTGTTGTTTTGTTGTTGTTAAGTGCCCTCAAGTATATTCCATCTTGTTGCTGTTGGTACCGACTCATAGCGACCTTATGCACAACAGAACAAAACACTGCCCAATCCTGGGCCAACCTCACTACTGTTGCCACACTTGAGTCTATCCATGCTGCTACTTGGCCAATCCATCTTGTTGGGGGTGTTCCTCTTTTTCTTTGACCCTCCACCTTACCAAACATAATATCCTTCTTCAGCAACTGGTCCCTCCTGACAATATGTCCAAAGTATGAGAGAAGAAGTTTGGCCATCTTGGCCTCCAAGGTAAAGGTCTTGAGCAGCAGATTTGTCTAATGCAATACATCATTTGATTTCTTGACTGATGCTTCCGTGAGTGTTGATAGTTGATCCAAGAAGAATGAAGTCCTTGACAACTTCAATCTTTTCTCCATTGATAAGGATACTGTTTATTGGTCCAGTGGTGAGGCTTTTTGTTTTCTTTACATTGAGATGCAATCCATACCGAAGGCTGTGCTCTTTGATCTTCATCAGTAAATGATTTAAGTCCTCTTCACTTTCAGCAAACAAGGTTGTATCATCTGCATATCGTAGGTTGTAAAAGAGTCTTCCTCCAATCTTGATGCCACGTTTTTCATCATATAACCCGGCTTCTCGGATTATTTGTCATTTAGTCATCAAGTTTGGCAATAGAACCCTAGTGGCAATACTTTTATACTTACTCTGATATATAAAAAATGAATAATAAATTATAATAGAAAAAAATCAAATCATTATAATAGTCATCAAATTTATCAATAAATGAGGACCTGATAACTAAATGCCACCACTCATCCGATCATGACAGGCTATGGACAACATTGCTAAACCTGAGTATTCCTAAACACTTCATTATGCTCATGAGGAATCTGTGCTTGAACCAAGAGGCAGTAGTTCGAACAGAACATGGGAACACTGAATGGTTTAAAATTAAGAAAGGTGTTTGACAGGGTTGTATTCTTTTATCATACTTATTCAACCTGTATGCTGAGAAAATAATCCTGGAAGCTGGATTATATGAAGAAAACATGGCATCAGGATTGGAGGAAGACTCATTAACAACCTGAGATATGCAGATGCTACAACCTTGCTTTCTGAAAGTGAAGAGGACTTAAAATATTTA